GCTCCCACTTGCAGTTCTCGTGCCTCCCGGCTCTTCGAGGGACCCCAGAGTCAGGTCCCTAGGATGCACGCACCAACCAGCTCCCACACACGGCGACGGCAGCAACAACAGTCCCCTCTCCCAGCGCCCGCTGTTAGCTCTCCCCATTAGTTCTCTAGCTTTGAATTGCTCCCGCCTCTCTCTCTTTCCTTCCCACTTGCTCCCGTGCTCATGTGCAGGCAGGCAAGGAAAGGGAGATGGAGCCATGCGCAGCTCTCAAGTCCTCCAGCCCTCACTGCCTATCCCAACATCGAAGCCTCAGAGATGCAGGCAAAGCCGCCACAGCAGTAGCACCCTGAGTTGCTTGCTTCTCCACTACTGCCTCCTCCTCCTCCTCCAGCACCTCCTTCTCTGGGTAGGGCGATTCTTAACTAACCAAGAATGCTAAGGTAACTCGGGCGCTACTGCGGTGGCGGCTTTGCCTGCGCAGTCCAGATTAATTGCTTTTGGGGGCCATTTCTTCTGTGGCCCACCAAAAATTTTCCACAGCCCACCAGTGGGCTGAGGCCCACCGGTTGGCAACCACCATGGGAGCTATAAAATGGACTATTTCTGTTGCACTACCTGCTCTCTGGAACACCATGTCCCAGACATTAGCTTGTAAAAGGCTAGCAGAATCAAAGCCAAAGTGATGAAATTAGGGATGTGCTCCATGGCTGGAGGTCAGAAGTTAAATGACCCATATATTATTCTTACTGTTGTGTTTCTTGGTTTGTTTTTGACAACATACACACACACATTATTAGCTGCCCAGAATCACATTTGTAAGATCAGCAATCATATAACTTCGATTGAATAAATATTTACCCAGTGTCCTCTTTGCTGAGACTGACATGTGGGATAGAAAGAGATTCCACAGCCTTTTTGGATTACTGACAAATAGCAAGAAAAAGATCTTTTAAATCAGACCAGAATATACTGATACTTCTAAACCTCTGAAGTAAGTGAATAGGGAAAATAGCCCTCTCCCCCTCCACCATTCAGAGTTTGTTATAATATATTTTGTCCACTTAAAAAACAGGAACACTCAAAGAGATATCTTGTTTTGTATAACACATACAAAAATAAATGACTGAACTTTGCACAGTTTTAAAAAGGAACTTAGTTCGCAATTCTGTGTTCTGTTACCCAGGTATTAATCTAAATGAACTCAATGCCTTATCTGTGTAAAACTATTTGTTCTGTAAACCTTCTGGAATTACAAACTGTTCGGATTATTTTCAGGACTAGTTTTCACACAGATCTTTTTATACAATTCACTTTTCTATTAAAAAAAAACATTCATAGCTGTAAACTACAATTGTTAAAAATACAAGAGCTCTGCCTGCTTCCTTAAAGATGAAGCAATTCCCTTTCTTCTGACAGATAACATTATTTTAGCTATTAAAATACATTCCAGTGACAGATTGAAGTTTCATTAACCTGGAACAACCTTTCAAACACTGATAACACTGTTGCTGCTGCTGCTAGATTTATATCCCACCTTTCCTCTAGAACAGTGGTTGCCAACCAGTGGGCCAGGGACCACTGGTGGTCTGCGAGAAAATTTTGGTGGTCCACAGAGAAATGTCACCCCCAAAGCACCCCCCAAAGCAATTAATACAGGCTGCGTGGGAACACAAGGCTGCACCACCCACGTGCCTGCGGGAACGCAAGGCTTGCGTCGCTTGCAATGTGAACAACACGAGGTAGTGAGGGAAGGCGGGAAAGGGTGGAGGGGGGACTTGCCCCATGCGACTGGCCTGGCCACCGGGCTGTTTTTTTCTGCTTCTTTCTTCTGCTTTTGGCTACACGCAAGGAAAGCAGCAAAAGTCTTTTTTTCTCTCCCCAAACTCCGCCAGAAATGAGTCTTTGGGCTCTGCAAGGCATTCTGCTCCAAGAGGCTGCACCAGCATGACAAGTCTCACAAAGACTTATTTCTGGTGGAGTTTGGGGGAGAGAAAGAAAGACTTCTGCTGCTTCTGCTGCTTTCCTTGCATGAAGCCTAAAGTCTCTCTCTCTCCCCACCCCCCAAGAATGGAGATGGTATCCTGCGATTCCCAGGGTCTCTGCTGCTTTCTGCAGAGACCCTGGGAAAACATCAGCAAGCCACCGTCAGTCAAAATTCATATGAGTTTGGTGGTCCCTGAGGTCCAAAAGGTTGGCGATCCCTGCTCTAGAACAAAACATGGGGTGCTTTCCATACTAATTACTTCCCATATTAATACTAATAGCAATAGCACTTAGACTTATATACTGCTTCACAGTGCTTTTACAGCCCTCTCTAAGCGGTTTACAGAGTCAGCCTATTGTCCCAACAATCTGGGTCTCCATTTTACCCACCTCGGAAGGATGGCAGGCTGAGTCAACCTTGAGCCTGGTGAGATTTGAACTGCCAAATTGCAGGCAGACGACAGTCAGCAGAAGTAGCCTGCAGTACTGCATTCTAACCACTGCGTCACCATCGCTCTTAATTAATAATAACAATAATTTTTATTCCACTTCTATTCATCTATCTCAAGGGGGGGGGGCTTAATAGAGGTGGTCCCTGCTTACAACCACAACAGAGCCCCAAATTTGTTGTTAAATGAGACGTTAAGTGAGTTTTGCCCCATTTTATGACCTTTCTTGCCAGAGTTAAGTGAAACAGTGCAGTTGATAAATTAGTAACCCAGTTAAGTGAATCAGGCTTCTCCATTGACTTTGCTTGTCAGAAGGTTGCAAAAGGTGATCACATGACCTTGTGACACAGCAACATTCATAAATATGAACCCGTTGCCAAGCATCTGCATTTTGATCAGATGATCACAGAGATGCTGCGAAGGTCATAACTGTGAAAAACGGTCATAAGTTGCATTTTTCAGTGCTGTTGTAACTTTGAACCATCACTAAACAAACTGTTGTTAAGTCAAGCACTATCTGTACTTTTTCCTGCTCCTCTTTTCCCAACAACCCTGTCAAGTAGGTTGGGCTAAGTGATTAGCCCAAAGTCACCCAGCTGGCTTTCATGCCTAAGGGAAGCCTTAAAACACCTGCTACCAACAATGTGGAATCTCTGACAGAGAAGAAAATCACATAATTAACTCCTACAGGGTTTTGAATCTTGGCCTACATCAAGTTCAACATCTTAAGGCTCCCATAATTTTGGCACCATAGTAGAAATAATAAAGCAACAGGCTTTTAATCTTCATTATTATTACTGCTGAGCATTTAGCTTTCACATTGTCTGCCACTTATGATTAGTTCTCTGTTTCTACATTTGTCTATTAATGAGTGATTCTAAAACAGGTTGGAGCCATTTTGAATCTGGTGGATCTTGAGCTGCTACACTCCCATTAATTACTGTACATAAGATATTTCATTTCCCAGTTATTTAATCACACAATTATTTGACTTGTGCAAATTCTGGACTATATTTCACTAACAATTTATAAGCAAGCCCCAACAGGAGGTTCTGAAGTTTTGTGCTTTGGCCAGCAGAACTTTGATCAATTTGTCTAGTGCTAAGCCAGCTGCAAACCTTTTCAACAAAAAAACAGCAAGAGGCAGCCCTACAGTATTCTGGTTATTTCTTGAGTACTTCCATGTGGGCAAAACAGAAAATGATCTGGTGCAGAAGCTATTGCTGGATTCCTAAATGAAGAAATCACTTTTAAACGAACATTGTGTTGGAAATTAAAACCCATCCCTCTCCTAGGAAAATGAAATATTTTAGAATATAGTAAAAAGAAACTCAGAGGCAGAAACTCAGCCCCCCACTTTGCTAATGGGTCATTACTCTGGTCTGGGCCAGTCTATTTTACATAACAAAGATCTAATCCAGGTAGAGCCATAATAGGAATTGCCCAAAGCCCTTTCGTTACATCATCATCCAGCAAGGTTCAACCAAGCCTGGGATTCAGGACAGCCCTAAGAGTTGCCCCTGCATGGCACCATGGAAGTCTGACAACCAATCAGAATACAAGCTCAAATTCAAATCCCAACAGAGGGAATAAAACCCAGGGACCCTCAGCATCTTGCCCCTTTTCTTTTTGTTCACCCAATATCTTCAATTATGTGATCATCCTTTTCACTTTGGAGCTCCAAGCCATGTGGTCCTGTCCACCATTAAACCATCTTTCCAAGCAGTCACCATGTTTCCAGTGTCTTTCTTCCCCACTTGGAACTGAACCCAGAAGGATATTTCTTCCAACAATTGTCTTCAGACATCATGTTTTAGCGTAAAGTAATCAGCTCTTGATAGCTGATGTGTCAACCCAGTGACTAACAAGCCAATCCATGGCTATTGTTGAATAAATGATAATTTATTCACACATAATTCTTTAACTATAAAGCATAGTTTACAAACCACAACGTTTGGGTTTTCCCAACACACAATCTCAGCATCCAGGATTTATTGTTGTTGGAGGAACCCATCACCCTGAACCCCAAGTCGCTGGTACTAAATCTACCATTTTATAGAACTGGGAAATAAATACAGCGATAAAAAAAATCTTAGTGCAAGGCGTCAGCTTAACGTCTGACATGCCAGACGGAAATTTGACACCAGCAACTTTCCATGCAAAATCCCAAAGGTGCTTTTTTCCCAAGGGGGAAATCGGACTTTCTGGTTTTTCTTGGAAGACGTTTCGCTTCTCATCCAAGCTTCCACTTCTCATCTAAGTTTCTTGGATGGGAAACGAAACGTCTTCCAAGAAAAACCAGAAAGCGTGGTTCCCACCTTTGGGACAACCAGAACCTGGATGACTGAGAAGCCCCACAGACTTCGTTGCGAAGCTGCGCTCGTCTGCAGGAGTCCCTCGCCCACCCAACCACCCCCACTGGACTACAAATCACATAATCCCCACCCGGGATCGCCTCTCGGGACGCAGGTTGGAAGAGGGCGTCGTTCAGGACGCGTGCGCTCTCCCCCCCCCCCCTCCCCTCTCCCCCCGCCCACCACAGCGAAGAGAGCGGAGAGCGCAGCCGCAGCAGCTCGAGAAGCCGCGTCACGCATCACGCGCAGAAGGAAAGTCAGTCGCTCGACCCGAAAGGGAGGCCCCGCCCGCGGGTTGGAGTGCTATATGGAGCAGTCACTGTGCTCCTCGCTCTCCAGCTCCCCTAGTGGTGACCCGATGAACTAGAGCTTTGGAAGAAGAGCCGGCGAGGAACTTGCCGTTCGCCGGCTACAATTCGCAGCCGAGGTGCATCGTCTCTCGGCTCGCGACCGCTCGGACTTCTTCAACCTGCAACGAAAGCGCCCAAGCGCTTGGGGATCTCGCCTTTTCGGAGGTGAGCGGCTGGGGTTGGAAAGGAGGACCGCCGGACAATAGTGCGGATTTGCTTGCTGGCTGTACTTGTGCTAAATTCTGAGCGCCTGGTCAAGATAAGGGTTTATTGGCAAGGGTTTATCCCCTTACGCATGCATGTTAAAAACACTGGGAAATGTTTTTTTATCTACGCTCCGGGAAAATGCATGAAACAGAGAATTAGCCACATTTCTGTTTTAAAGTTGTGGGTTTGTTGTTCGGGTGGGGAGGGGTGTCTCCGTTTTGTTTTTTTCAGAGCCGATCCGTTATTATAACAGCCGTCATCCCCAACCAGACCAGTTGTTGGAGGGGACACAGATTGTGTGGGAATTGAATAAATTGGAACTGGATAATAAGTAAATCGCGTCTAACTCAGGAAAGTTTGGGGATCTGACAACCCAAATCGCTGGCGTTTGCAAGGGATTTTTGTAAAGGTTATTTCAGGCTCAGGGGTAGCTTAAGGCTCTCCCTTCACTGACTGACTCATTTTCTGTTTCTTGAAATTGTTGTGTAACAGCTGTATGTCTTGTGAAGATACAGAATATGTAAAGATGCCCAAATTCCCTTTTACAGTACTGTACCTGTTTATTGAGAAAAACCCTGCTTGGATAAAGCTATTTAAAAAAAACAAGTCTTTTAGACCTATATACCTCCCCTGGAATAAACTGCTTTAGATAGAATTTGTGTGCAAAACATCTTGAGATTGATAGATTACTAAAGAGCCAATGTTTACATTGACTTCTGCTTTCACTTGATGCTTCTGTTCCAAAAACAGCAACAACCTTCTACAGCTATGGTGGACAAAAATCAGATTTGTGTTTGTTTATTATTTTAAAATAATTTAGGTTGCTCATTAAGACAATTATTCCTATGAAGTATAGAAAACAATACAATATTAAATGTCAAGTGCAGGCTTAAGGAAAGAAAAATAATTCAATAGACATCAAAAGCATTGCACAGAGATATCTTCAAATATAGTAGAATTTCACAAGTTTGTTAAGATCCCTAAATCTATTAATTGAAGACAAGCAATCAAAATATACTTAGGATTTAAAAATTCAGGGTTTAGGAATTTGTCACTATCAAAATCCCAAGGCATGCTACTGAGAATCCCAATCCGAGTTACTTCCAATTTCTGTGATAGAAGTTACTGTTGCTTTTATTAAATAATCAGGAATCAAAATTCTTGCCTGTCTATTATACCTTGCCATATTTTCTACTTTGCCTAACAAAGTATGGTGGTTTTGGGTCACAGGTTTCATTGTGGTGAATGTGCCCTGAAGAAAATGTCACTGAGCTAATAATTGTGGATGTTTCTGATCCATTGATATGTAACACACTATCTTTGGAAGGCCAGATATCATGCCTGGAAAATCCATTTTTGAATTTCTCACAAACATTTCATGACATTGTCAATATATTGTGGGAATCATGCCAGTCATCAGAGCTATTCAACATTACAACATTAAAACCAACTTCTGCTAAAGAATAGCAGAAAACCCTGTGTGCTATGATGTGGACTTAATTCACTAATATACAGTATTTTAATGATTTATACACTGTTTTCGGATCACAATATTATAACTAACTAAGAACTTAGCAGAATAAAATTGCTACTGCAATATCTATATAGGTAGCTGCCTGCCAGACATTAAAATATGCTTCGCCAAGGGATATTTTTACTACTTCTCTTAAATTTTACAGGGTGTAATTTGTGATTTGCTGTTTGTGTAAAACTGAAGATGGAACTGAAACCACTAGTATTTTTATCTCTGCTGTATGCCAGATTCCAAATTCTACACTTTATAATTCTAAAAATGATGGTGTTAACTTGATTGTAAACCAGATTTTATATTTTAACTTGGAGCACTGTGTTTTTGTAATGAAAACATACCAGCTACAATTGCTCTGTGCAATCACAAACTGAACAAGCTTTGTCTTCAAGTTTAACAGTTTCACTGTCAATGGATCACATCTGTGCAGCACATTCCTTAATTTATCAAACAAAATCTGCACATTTTACAAGATAGGAACAATAAAGAATTATTTTTAGATCTGTAATCCCTAACACTTTGTAGGCATAAACAAGAAGAACAAAACTTCATCTCCAGGGGAAGTGATGATTTGGGGTGAGATTAAGATGAATGCATTAGCTTTTGGCTACATACTGTATGTATGCATATTTTAGCTCTTTATCTTAAGTAGAACTTCTGAAATGATGGATCTAGGCCTCGAGATGACTATTTAGAGCCATGATGGTGAATCTATGGCATGCATGACAGAGGTGGTACACAGAGCCCTCTCTGTGGGCATGTGCACCATCACCAGCTGTTTTTCGGGTTTCCGGCACTCTGGCGCGCATGCGTGCATTCAGGTTTGGGTACTTGGTGCTGAAATGGTTCACCATCACTGATTTAGAGGGATGTGTTACATTTTTAAAAAACCCGGTCCGCCTTGCACAGAAAATGTGGGAGCATTGCACAAGCCTCAGTTGTGAGACTTGGACAGTGATGTAGGACTGCAAAGCATGTAGTTACACGTGTTAGATAAATTAAATGTAAATAAAGTAGTGTACTTTTCTCCCCCACGCCTAAGCCCACTGAAATTATTAACTTTATTCATGAGGTGTCACGTTGTTTTTAGGGGTGCTGTAGAATTGCAGTACTTATTTTTTTCTCTCTCCCTCTCTAATTGTTGGAAGACCTGAAAGATCAGGTTAGAGACATATAATCATGGAGAAAGTAGAAAGCAACATCAACTTGATAGCATAATCAGTCAGTTTATTAAAATTTAGAGTATTAACTTAGTATAAGAACCCTATACATTTCTCACTAGGACTAGTGAGAAATTGCTCATTGGAATGCTCTCTAAAACAAGGAAGACCCCTGCAAAAGGCAGGCAAGTGAGCAAAGCTATATTTTCTGCACATGCTCAGGATCTAGGGATGTGTGAAATCTTCTCCAGTCTGTGGAAAACTTTTCTTCTGAAACAGATCCCTGGCGCCAGAAAGGTTGGGGACCACCGCTCTAAAAGTTAGCTGGTTAAAGAAAGAGAGGTGGAGCTAACGCTTCTGAGAGAGAAGGATTGAAGTCTTTTCATTCTATGTCCTCATCTCTGTCACCACTATATACTGCCCCTTTCCCCCCAAGTTTACACTCCAATATTTTTTAAAAACAACCTTGTCAATTCACTGGCATTGCCCAGGATTAAAAATTAGAAACCAACAAATTCTTCTCCAGAGAGTGTCCAGAAAATGTTTAAGACAAGATTGTAGAATATGTTCATTAGAACCCATTGAATAATTTCATTGCTTTGCTTATAATTGAGATTATTTTCCCTTGAGTCTCATTATAGCTAACCAGCTTCCAATGGCAGAAAAAGAAATTGAAAAGCTGAAAATACTTCAGTAGAAAGTAAAATTAGCTTGAAGTACAGCATGCTAAATGTGTCTCAAATCATGTATTTAGTAGAATGCATTATGTATAACGCAACAGGTAAGCCAGGTGAAACACAGCATGCTCAAAACATGACTTTTGAATAGTTCATCATGGTTTCCAAGTGGCCCCTTTAAATTGAGGAACACAAAATAGAATAACCGCCAACGTTTTCATCATTTGGTTAATGATCAGTTAGAGAATTGTAAGGCATGCATGAATTCGCTTCCTCTGAAAAAGGCTAACCTATTGTTTTCTTCCTGAATTATAATTAAAGCAAAACCTCAAGGATGAAGAAAACCTTGTTACTAGAGCCTGCCATTTTCTTATATGTTTTTGCCTATTCTTTGACATCTCCTCTGAAGCAGCAATATGTATACAAAAGGATCTGGGAAGAAACCACCAACTCCACCTTCATAGTTCAAGATAATATTTCTCATTGTGAACTGAATCAAAGCAACCCAACCTATGTGAAGCAAAAGGTAAGATCAGCATCCCCAGACAACGTTAAGCAGAGTTAATGATGCATAATAGCAAATCATGTTGAATTTAATATGTTCAGAGAAGAGGTTTCACACCTGGCAAAGCATCTCTTCACTTAGCTGCAATTACTTAGATGGGAAGCCCCAGCAAATCGTTTGTCCAGAAACAAAAATAAAAAACAAGAGCACAATTTTCCTAGATGCAGTCAATGTCACACACATGCAATTCCTAAGGAAATGTCTTCACCAGCATTGCAAAATAAAATGCAGAAATTATTTTTGAGCTGAGTTTGGAAAAATGCACAAATCTAAATTTTAATAATTTAAAATATTAACTGTATTTGATTCAGACGTGAATATGTCCTTTTTCCTCTTTCAACTAGCCTCCATTTAGAATTCTCAAGAACATTTCAGGGTTTTACATACCTTTTTTCATTACTTCAGAAGCCTACTGCCATACTGCTGCCAAATAAACTATAGAACTGTGTCCAGTCAAAATGTTTCAAGGAATCTTTATAACACAGCTTCCAAACCCAGTATTTCCACATGTGTCCACGTTTCAGTTCTCAGGATTTCTAACCATGCTGCCAGGAAGCAGTTGTTGTACCAACCTATTAATTGGTGAAGGTTGATATGCAGATGTAAAGAGTTCATTATCTTAAGGGAAAATGAAATATTTCAGGGGTTTCATAGTATTTCAGCTGGATAAAGTTGATAATAGACTATAACATACTTGATTCAAACATATTCACATGCTAAGCAAATTGAACACTAATCACTTGGACACTTTGGATAATGTTACATTTCAGAGTGTACTGATCCCCTACTTTGTTTATACTACATACAAACTACTTACATATCCAGGATAGATACATTAGATAGCAAATTACTATCAACTAATATTTTATGCCCTGAATAAGTTGGAGTAAAATATATAAAAGGTTTTGCCTAATAAATCCATTATACCATTATAAGGTTCTTTTTAATGTGTTCGCTTATTTAGCTATCATAACAATGACTTTAGAACAGTGATCCCCAACCTTTTTGACGCCGCGGCCCGGTACCGGCATCAGCTGGGCGCCGCGGCCCGGTACCAGCATCAACTGGGCGCCGCCATCTTTTTTTGACGAAAAAGATGGCGGCGCCAGCGCTTCCGGTGAACTTTTTCGGGTAGAAATGGCTTTCTACCCGGAAAAGCTCACCGGAAGCGCTGGCGCCGCCATCTTTTTTTGATGAAAAAGTGCTTCCGGTGAGCTTTCTACCCGGAAAAGCTCACCGGAAGCACTTTTTTACCAAAAAAAGATGGCGGCGACCAGCAACCAGCGGCCCGGTAAGACTTGTTCCGCGGACCGGTCCGGCGGTTGGGGACCCCTGCTTTAGAATACAGTTCATAGTATCTTTGATTGCTGGTTTCTATACACTATTCTATTCTTTACTAATTCTCTAGTACTGTAAAACAGAATTACAATTTATAGATGAGACCAGAAGTTGAATTACAATGGATACATTGATTGATTTGTCTCTATTCTTGTTTTATTTTCTTCTTTCAGGAAGTCCAAGAAAAAGCCTCTCTCTTTGCTATGAAAACAGACTTATGTGGGGCAATTTTCAGCATTTTGGTGGCCTTTTTCCTCGTAGCAAATGGAGATCGATATGGACGCAAAATATCATTGGTTCTTCCCCTGGTGGGGAGCCTTACCAGCAGCATCTTCCTCTTTGTTATGTCGGACTTGTCTTTGCCCATCTACCTTTTCTTTGTTTTCTCCTTGGTTGCGGGCCTGTTTGGAGACTTGGCTACTTTTCTTGGAGGAGCCTTTTCCTTTGTGGTTGATTGCTGTGAGACTCAAAAAAACAAGACCATCCGAATAGCTGTGATTGACTTAATCTTTGGGTTCACATCTGGATTGGGAGGATTGGTCTCAGGCTACATTCTAAAAGAAATAGACTTTATGTGGACATTTGCCACGATTTCTCTATTTCACATGGTCAATATTTTCTATGTCATATTTTGCTTGGACGAAACAGTGAAAGTCTCTGCAATCCAGGCACAATCTTGGCGGGAAGGTCTTAAAGACACTCTGTCTGGAGTATATATGCTCTTTAAATCCTCCTCCTTCAGGAAGCGAATTTTAATCATCTTGCTGCTTTGCGTATTCATGACTTACCTTTTCACAGTCTATGGAGGGCTTAGTCTCTATGTGCTATACGAACTGAATGCTCCCCTCTGTTGGAATGCCATTTACATAGGATACGGCTCAGCTGTGTCCACCTCAGTCTCTGTGACTGGATTCTTAGGGATTGTTTTTCTTTCTCAGTACCTGAGAGATAGCTATCTTGTTTTTATTGGAATCTTCTCTTATATGGGAGGAAGTATCATGGCCGCCTTTGCCAACACTACATTGTTGATGATGTTGGGTAAGTTTTACTTGGTTAAGTTCAAAGATGATGGTAAAACATTTTAATAACATAGTTCAGAGTTTTTCAATCCTGGCCACTTTTAAGATATGCGGCTCTGAACTCCTAGATTTCTCCAAGTTGGGGAATTCTATGAGCTGATGTCAAAATATCTCAAAGATGCCCAGATTGACAAATATTGATGTAAGTAATTAGAAAATTGGTGGTGCTTGTTACTTTCTACATTATTTATGGCACTGGTCGAAAACTCAGGTCTTTCTCATGAAAAGCTGCCCAGACTTTTAGTTGGAAATGCCAAGGGATTTAACCAGGACTTTCTGAACACAAGTTTCAACCTCTACATTCCAACTTTGTAATATTCAAGTGAATGAAGTTTGTAATCTTTTAGAAACGTTGTGCTTCAAATTATAATTTCTATGCCTTTAGGCAGGGGTGGGCTGCTGGAGGATCGCAAGGGTTTGGGAGAGCCTCTAGCTAAAATTCTGTGCAGTTCAGAGAACCCCCCCAAATCCCACTCCTGGCTGGCCCCGCCCACCCCTCCCCTTCCCAGGAGTCCCCACGTGGCCCGTTTTGCAGGTAAGTGCAGAACGCACACAGACGCTCGGAGAGGGCAAAAAATGGGCCTCCTGTAAGTTTGGGAAGGCCAAAAACAGGCCCATTTCTGAGAGCCTCCTGAGCCCGCAGAGGCCGTTTTCGCCTTCCCAGAGGCTTGAGGAAAGCCTCCGGAGCCCGGGGAGGGCAAAAACGCTCTCCCCCTGATGGTGCAGGAGGCCAACTAGGCCATGCTCACCATGGCCACACCCACCATGGCCACGCCCACCCAGCAACCGGGCAGAGAACCCATTGCTAAAATGTTTGAAGCCCACCTCTGCCTTCAGGACAGAGGTTCCCAAGGGGGGGAGGAAGAGAGAATGGTTCTCTGTGAGTAGCAGGCACGGGCAAGCATATGCGCCTGCTGCTTATGTAAGTGGAGCTATGTGCTCACCTGCCCCTTACATGGCCCAGTTCCGAATGCGCTGCGGGCCAGTAGTGGGTCATGGCCCAGGAGCTGGGGACCCCTGCTTTAGGATCTGTAAGGCAGCATAATAGCAGCGTAAAATGTAAGCTACAATAAAACAGCAAACAGCAAAACTACTAGAGGCAACAATTTATATTATTGGTATAATATACAAATTATACCAAAAGACCCTCTTGAAATAGCAATATTATAACTTACCCACTGAAAGCTAGCTGTAAAAGTAAAATGTAGCTACTTGCTACATTTTTATTGGAAAATAGAGCTGAATCTTCCACTTCCGCAATTTGCAAAAGAGGCCCATAACAGATACTTGGCTATATTATGTTTATTGTTTTATTGTCTTTTAGTCATTTTCTGTAGCTACGGAGATTTCATTCTGTTAGTTTGTCATCTTGGGGGAATGTTATAACTTTCCTTTGTCTACTGTCCCCACAATGCTTTTGAATAAGATAACATAATTAATTTAATAATGTATTTCATGACTTTTGTCAATTTTCCACCATGCTGTACCCCATCTACACCATGACTGGTGCTAAATTGGAGGAAACCAATACCTGCCAGATCTATATTGAATTTAAAATCTGAATGTAATGAATTCCTTCTTTCAACTGCAGTTTATGAATAGTATCTTGCAACTTCAGGTTCATCCACATACCACAGTTGAAAATGTGCACACAAAGCAATATCCAGTATCTTCTGAAAGAGATATACATTAAATATTTTGGCTACTATTTTTATTACTCATACAAAATTCCTAAGTGGACAAACATGTTGCTTATGACACAGGTATTCCTCAACTTACAGCCATTCAATTAGTGATATTTATTCAAAGTTACAGTGGCACTGTAAAAAATGACTTATAACTGGTTTTCACACTTATGACCATTTCAGCATACCCATGATCACATGTTCAGAATTTGGGCACTTGGCAACTGGCATGTACTTATGACAGTTGCTGTGTCCTGGGGTCATGTGATCACAATTTGTGACCTTCCCAGCTGGCTTCTGACAAGCAAAGTCAATGGGGGAAGCCAGATTCGCTTAACAACTGCATGAATCACTTAACCACTGCAGCAATTCTCTTAACAACTTTGGCAAAAAGATCATAAAATGGGGCACAACTCACTTAACAGTTGTCTTGCTTAGCAACAGAAATTTGGGTCTTAATTGTGGTCATAAGTTCAGGAATAGCTGTAGTGAAAAATGTACTTCGTGGAGGGCATCTTTTTAAATCCATGAGGATTTCTGAAAGATGCTACCATGTTTTTTACCCAGATAAACATTTACTGTTAATTGTTACAGTATAAATTGATTGGCTAATTGGGATAATTATGTTAAACACCGTTGACTTTCGTGACTCCTATTTTGCAGTGAGAATACCATCGATGCTCCTTTTCATACCCATTCCAGTTATTCGAGCCATGTTGTCGAAAACAGTTCTTCCTAATGAACAAGGTGAGTCAGTGCTGATAAAGAATTAGTTGTAGATGTTGAAGGAATCCAATGAAGTTCCTTGGGTCCGTCAGTTTGTATTGTCGCCCTGAAGCAACAGCTCTATATTGCATTGTTATCTTAATTAGTTCCAATTAGTGAACCATTTCCATTTGGGGAACATAAGTCCCATTTTGCCACTGGATACCCAGATTCATGGCATTGACTATCCTCATCAGCTTAGTTTGGTGACCATCTTTGAAATATTGTGGTGATTCTTAAGAAAATGAAGTATTCTGCATACTAGACTTTTATCAATCAGTCAATCTATTCAAATAGACCAGCATTCTTATCTACTAAACTTGTACGGGTAACTTAGAACGTTAGGAAAAGTTACTGCTAGCTTAGTAGCAGATATCAGTCTTGGAATGCATACTTAAGCATATTTTGTATCTAAACACAATTCACAAGGCTTTTATTGTGCTTAACTTTATGGTACCCATCTGCCAAGGTGTAACAAGGGTGACCTGAGGGTGTAATAACTGTCTGGGAGGGTAAAGTCAGTTTCCAGCTTATAAATATTAAGTTGCCTAGCATAAGTTGCAACTCTAATTTGCTCGAAAACTACCGTATTTGCCGGCGTATAAGACGACTGGGCGTATAAGACGAGCCCCCAACATTTCCACTCAAAATACAGAGTTTGTTATATACTCGCCGTATAAGACGACCCCCCCAAACTTACAAAATCGCACGAGCAGCATCCCATTCCTGGGAGAAAAACAAAAAAACAAAAAACACGAACTCTTCCCGAAGCGCAAAAGCAAGGATGGCGCTTTCTCAGCTTTGAGCGGCGTCGCTGCTCTCCCACCCCCTCCACTCGTCCCCACGTGCGGCGAAGTTTCTGCCACTGGGGGGTGGTGGAGGGGGGTGGAAGGAGGTGAGGGATGGGGGCAAAGCCTGGAGCCTGCCGGTCTGCTCGCACGAGCGGAGTGGGTGGGTGGGTGGGAAGGGAAAGGAGAGGCCACGCTGCTGCCTGCAAGTGAAAGTGACGCGCCTGCCCCCTCCCCCCCGGGGGAAAGTGAAAGGCCTCCTCCCTTAAGCAGCCCCCGCGTGCGTGCCATCGGGACTCCAAGGGTGGGGGATGGACAGCTGCCAACACACTCTCTCTCTGTCTCTCTCCCTCTCTGTGTGTGTGTGGTGTGGAGGGTAATTCCGGCTATCTCTGGCCTCCGCTTGGTTTTAAAGTCGCTTGGCCGGTTCCCAAGTCGCAAGCGCGCACTGGCCGGGAGATGCGGCGCTGGGTGGCAGCTCGGTGCCGGGGAGGCGGATCTTTCTCTCAAGCGGGGAGGGGAGGATGGGACAAGAGGAGGGACGGGACGGGACAGGGGGCGGGAGGAGGTCCCTCGCCTTCTTCCACCACCCACTGGACCCTTTTCTTCCCAAGGGGACCCTTGAAAGCAGCTCGGGAGCCAGGTGGCCCTGCCCAGCGGGGTCCCATCAGGAACTTCCCGAGGACACCCCCCCCGCCCCAAGCACAGCCCTCCCGGTCTTTCAAAGAGGGAGGGAGAAGCGGGAGGAGCAAATTGCCGGCCCCGCCCCGCTGCCCAGAAGAAGGGGCGCCACAGTCCACCCCCTGCGTAGTGCATGCTGCTGCAGAATTTGTGTGAGCAGAATTAAATACGGGGTTGAGAAGGGAAGGCTTATAGAGCAAAATGGGCATCTTGCAGAAACTTAAACATAACGCTTCTTGTGCTGTCCAGCCAGCGTATGGGAATTGGATAGTTCACAATTGTGAGCTGTCCCCTTAAGGGAATGCACCATGGTAAATGTAGTTAAGGTATCCTGGGAAATGTAGTCCATGTCACGTGACCACATCTGTAATCCTGATTGGTCATTAAATTGACCCTCGATAGGTTGGGGGAGGTTTCCTCACTCTTGGCTGAACTCACAGATTCGTGGTAACTGTTCTACTTCTACCATTACGAGATGGGTGAAAAGGGATAGGAGATAACCATCTTTTTACCTACAAGACAGATATGCAAAGGATTCAGAATACAGAACACCTCTTTAAAATCTGGATTTCCCATCCAAAATCAGAATGACTTATTTTCCCTGTAGGTGGGATTAGGGGACAAAATGGAGTCCTTAAGGCTTTCAAAGGCACTGTTTTCTTTCCTTGACTGTCCCTTCCAACTTTTTTTTAACGTTCAGAAAATTCTACCCTTGCTTCAGTGATGTTTTGATGTCAGACACATTTCTTTCAGACCCCAGCCAGGCAAATCTCCAGCTGAAGAGGTTTGCACACCCTTGCAGTGAGAGTTCCAGATCTAATACTATTAAAAATGCATATGAGAACCAGTCTTGCTCATTCCATTGTGCAACCAAGCACATTGCAGAAATCATAGAAAACAATTCCAGTCAGTGTGGCCAATAATTGTAGGGATAGTAGTATCATCCTATTTGAAAAGTGTTGGGAAAGTTACAGTAGCATTTTTTTTTTTTTTGCAAGGTTACAGAACCTGCTTTATAAGGAAGGACAGCCAGATAGAGCGGCGTATGACTGACTGTTGTGGTTTAGCTTGTGTGGTTCAGACATTTGCCTGATTGTCAGAGAAATGCATTGGATGGTATGTGCAGACAGCTGAATCAATCATTCCATTCCATTCCATTGTCATCTTTCTAGTAGCGTAGTGTAGTTATACACATATACACACAAATGTCTGGATTTCTGTAATCTAGTTTTTCTTTTATTTTCCTTTTTGACAGGAGCTTTATTTGCTTGCATTGCTTGCTTAGAGGTTGTGACTGGGACCATTTCAACTGCTGTTTTTAATACTATCTATGCAATGACTGTAGCATGGTTTCCTGGCTTCAGTTTTCTGTTATCAGCTGGCTTCTGCATACTTCCACTGAGTTTAATGAGGTAAGAAGGATCATCCATTTTGTAATATTGGAATCTCTTTTGTCATTTTCCAGAAATGTTGATCTCCATACAAAAGGGATGTTAGTTTTTGTATTCAATTCTTTTCGTTCACATAGAGTCGTATTTTTCAGTTTATTATAGAAAATGATAGAAAATGTATTTTCATTTCATTTCATTTTGATTTGATTTTGTTTGTATTGTCATTTTATCCTTGATTATTTTAATGTTTTTTATGAGGTAAGCCACCCAGGGTCACTTTGAAAGAAGATGAGCTGCAAATAAATTAAATTAAAATGCCACTCTGGGGCTATTGTTTTCTATGATACCCCTTTCCATTTACTCTGTACCAACCTGACTGCCCACACTTCTCAGTCAGAAAAAGATCTATGGGAGGAATTCCTTCATGATTTAATTGAAGCACACGAAGCTAGGAAGGAGGGATGACTATTCCCTGAAGAATAGGACTGTCACACACCAGCTATGGATCATCTCTTAACTAAATGGAAGAAGATAGAATAACGGAGTTGGAAGGGACCTTAGATGTCTTCTAGTCTAACCCCTTGCAACATTGCAACATTTTACTTAAGCCTTTTTTTTTTTAAATAAAATTTTAGGAACAGATTCTCTGATATCAGTTTGAATTGAAACTAATAATAGAACCATGTGAAGTTTATCTGCATGACATTGACCATACCGCTATTTGTTTTTATAAATGGAATACTACTAGTATACTACTACCATGATCCCTTGAATCATCCTTTTAGAGATGTTTCCTTACCAAATATCTCAGTGCCTACAACAGTGACAGAACTTTTAACGTACTGCCTTCATTGGAAAAATTGGGATACATTCAGTGATACACCTGCCATGAAAATAGCCCATGTTGAACTGTGTAGCATGAACATCAATGCTAGAAATGACTTTTTGTATTAAATCATAAACTGTTTCATGATAAATTTTATGTGACAAAATGTTTTATAAAATTTGCCAAAGATCTATCCCACGGAACCAGTGGGTCCTGGACTTTGAACACATTCAAATGTAGGTTAGTACATTTGAGGTAATTTGATTTAAAAACCATTGCCCTATGATGCATTGTTTCTACCAGTTAAACGTTGCGGGAATGAGAGTTTTAGTGTAAATGTGGCATCTATTTAAATTGCAAATATCCACCTTTAAATTTGGTTAGGATTTGTTAAATTGCCACCCATCTCACCATGGAGCTATAGTAGATGGTTTGCAACAAGAAGAAATGAAGAGTGTAAACAGAACTAAAATAATAGAACAATAAAATAAACAATGAAAAAGAACGCAATGACAATATATCAAATTTGCTATTGATTCTGAAAATCTGGAGTGTGGACATTTTTGAATCTGAGTTTCAATGACCCTGGAGCAGGAGGATTAAGACAAATATCTATTAATGTAATAATAGATAGCCTTTTTGTGATCAGATGACATACTTGAGCCTATTTGTTTATATATTTCATAAAATATATAATAGATAAATTGAAATTATCATTTGGCTTGTTTAGTATTTTATTTGGACAAAATAGTCCTAAAAATGGCTTTGTTGAAAGAAGATGGGGAAGAGGAGATAGTATTACAGGCATATTATTTTAGGTTTTTTTTTTCAATTATGTATTTATTTTACACTTTGAAACTACCCAATAACTAAAGGTCTTGGGACAATTTATGATAAAATGTTAAAAATACAATTTTAATTAAAACATACACAACAAAAATAAAATAACTATAAGCTAAAATATTCTAAATAGCCACTGAAATTTGCTGTTGTCTATTTGCCCCCCCCCCCAGCCCCCGCAATTTTCAATTGTCCTGGTGAAAGCATATTAAAGTGTCTGAAATGCTGTTAAAAATTTAGAGCCACTTTTAGTCTTGATCTAAAAATGGCACAATGGACATTTTCTTCCTAAATTAACTTCAAAGACAAGAAAGAGAATTCTGGGAATTTTGCATTACAATTTATGATAATTTTATGGCTTACGTTTCTTTTCAATTGAATTAGTATATCTTAACTCCTTTTTCCCTCAGTTGGTTTATGTGTGTAACTCGACAGGAAGAGAACTATGTGCAACTCATAAATGAAGAGGACTGTCCTGACCAGAACAGTGACAGCTGAACAAAGAATACATCTAGCAGTTACTGCTCTCAAGTTCTATAATGGCTTAACCTGTGGACGGGGTTGCCAGAGTTTCACTGCTTTCAATGGCTCCATTTTGAGAATTCCACAATAATTGATTGGCTCAAGTTTGCTTTTATTTTGGATTGCTATTGGGTGCCTGCAAGGGATGCAAAGTAAATTTAACTGTGCTTTATATCCCCCAAATGTTGACTGTGGGGATTTCCTGTCTTAGATTTCTTCCCATTGCTGGCCAGTCACAAATTGTCCTTTGATCCAAACTAGGTCAAAACATAGGTCAACTAAAAAAATGTATTTGCTTCATCAGATCAGATTATAAAATTATGATAAATAGGCAAGTTATGCTTAAAATATTGATTGGATTATATGTATTTTCTAATCCCTCCACTAATTTGTGTCCTGAATTAAAAATTCTCAAAGATTTATTTATTTAGGTCACTAGGGGTAATCCTTCACCATCACCCTATGAAGTAAGTATTTCTTCTTTTGGGTCTCTGTCGGAATTCTTTAACCTGTATTACATTCATTGGTTCCTCTTTTAACAAATGCATAGGCTTAAGAGAGAAAGTGTGAAGTAGTTAGTAAGAGATTGGGCTGGAACTAAGGAGAACTAGATAAAAGTTTGCTCTCCACTATAGAGCATCCGGATCTAGGACAAAAGTCAACCAAACTTACTTCACTGGTTGTTGTGGAGAGAACAAGAAAGGCCACGATGTATCTTGACTTAAAGAACGGAATGTAATAACAGTAAAGTTCAGTGATTCATACTCCTTACAGGAATTGAAAAGCAAAGAGAAGCAGTGATAAGCCACTCTGTAAATCATAACCCTCCATTCTCCTAACTTATTTACTTTTTGTAAATAGGGTTTTATGTAGAACACGGGTGTCGAACTCATGGCATCACAGTGCCGTCATGTCACATTTTTCCCATTTGCAGAGTTGGGGTGGATGTGGTCTGTGCATGATGCATCTGGCCCGCAGGCCACCAGTTTGACACTCCTGATGTAGAAGATACAGCAAAAACCATACATTTGCACTGTAGGATGGGAAAAAAAGGGTCAACCAATAGGCGAACATAGCGTTCTAGTAGGGTCCAAGAACCTGTAAACTAGAAATTTCCTTCAGACAATAGAAAGCATATCTTTTTTTGAGAAAAAAATAGAGTTACAGGTTCTGGCAGAAAAAGTGTGAGTGAGTGAAGGGAAGGAAGGAAGGAGGGAGGGAGGGAGGGAGGGAGGGAGGGAAGGAAGGAAGGAAGGAAGGAAGGAAGGAAGGAAGGAAGGAAGGAAGGAAGGAAGGAAGGAAGGAAGGAAGGAAGGAAGGAAGGAAGGAAGGAAGGAAGGATAGATAGGCATTCCCTGATCCAACAGGACTGTTTAATGAATTTCTCTTATGCAGTTGAGAAACCTTGCTTGGATACTTGCCTCTACCTCAAATTTTTCTTAGCAATCATAAGCAGAAAATTATAGCAATACAACCCCTTTCCACTTTGCACTGAAATCAGGTAAAGACTTGAAAATGTTTAAACTGAGGTTAAATGAGCAAGAAGGGGTAGCTTAAAGCATTAGTAGTAGCAAAGTGCACTTGGTAATGTATTGGCTCCATTGAACACTGTGTGGTTTCTGGGTAATTCCACATTTTACTTCACAACCTTAAGTGGGTTGTAGCTTTTGTATTTTTGTAAGTACACACCATTTTATTGTTGTTAATAAAGTTTAAAAGCTGCAATTAGAGAAGCAGTCTTGTGCTCTGTTGCCCACCATTGCAATTATGCATATTTTGTAATCTTTCACATGTGTTTTAATATAATTCTTATATAAATACATTTTTCTTCTGGTTCAGAAACCTTTTGTATTTTTATGCTTTGCAATTAAACCAAAGATATGGATCTAATTCATGTACTGTTACTGTTTTAAGCTGCCATATAACTATACAATTAGGCTTCTCTTCCAAGATGTTGCAAGCGTGTCATTGTACTTGCTCAGTGCTACCGTGAGACATGAATCTATTTCTATTCCTATGTGCACGTAATCTAGTCTAAAAGGGCTAATTCATCCCAATGTGCAGGGGTCTCCAACCTTGGCAACTTTAAGACTTGTGGACTTCAACTCCCAGAGTTCCTCAGCCAGCTGGCTGAGGAACTCTGGGAGTTGAA